AATCCCCAGTTCTGCCAAAAAAAAAAAAAAAAAAGAAAGAAAGAAACAAAACTCCAATCATATGCAGTATACAAGAAACATTTAATTCAAATAAAATTTTACAGGTTAAAAAAAATCAAAAGATGGAAAAAAATATTCCACGCAAAAGAAACCCTTAAAAAAGCGGTAGCTATCTAAATTTCAAGGAAAGTGTATTTCTAGCCAAAACTCTTCAAACGAGACAAAAGTTACTACATATTGATTCAAGGAACATTTCAACAGGAAGAGATTGTAAGCATTTATGCACCAAATAATGAGGTGCACAACTTCATGTGAAAGCACAAATAGACATGAAAAGTCAGACAAACGTTAATACAAATGTTATGGCTAATATCTACATGTCCTCCTCAAAGCCTCATGCACTCATAGGTGAAACTTTCACACATGGCAGGTTCTACATTGCATGATCCTGGGATGAAGGGCATGTGATACTGGATTTGTTCACTACTTGGTTTATCACAGTTTCTGGATGTGGATCATGAGAAGGTCCACCCTGGTTGCAGGTGGCATCACCCAAAAGACTTTTGGTCTATATAGGATTAAAGGGAAATGGAGACTTGCTGCTTCTTGAGTGCCCTGCCGTGTACTGTTTCTTCTCTGTGAAGCTCCTCTGCCGTGCCTTGGAGTTATCTGAATATGTACCAAAATCTCTAACAAACTATGCGCTAAAATAAATTTTTCCTCCTTTACCTCTGGGTGGGAGCTATTTTGTTTCAGCACTGAAAAAATAACTCCGAGGGTGAAAGTGTGTCATCAGCTGATTCAGCTACCATGGATAACTTAGATCATGTAAACCAAAGAAGTAGTGACAACGACATGGAGCATGAGATGACAGAGAAATACGGAATGAAGACCCTGATTGGGATGAAGAAGCAAATAGTAGTGTAAATAGATACCTGACTAATCAAAATGCTACATAATGGTCATGTACACCTAAACAATCCAACATAAGACCTAGGTCAGAAAATGTCATTGGGTTCTTGCCAGGGGGGAACCATACTGGACAGAATGCAACACTGAGATTCATTGTTAGAAACTGTTCGTAACAGATCATATGCTACAGCTTTTTTTTTTTTAACTGCTGCTGACTTTTTGTATTTTAGAGTGTTCAGGGTGTCACTACTAGATCGGACTCATAGTAATTCTCCTGTTTACAGCCAAGTGCTGGGAGTATGGGCACATGCCACCACACCCAGTCTCAAAGGCTGTCTCAGTGCGCCCCCGGGGACAGGGCTGGTATGGCAGGCCTGGGAATCTTGGTCTTAGTACCTTTCATATACTTAATAATTATAGAAACCCAGAAGCTTTTATCTGGATATCCCATGACACTGAACATATTAGAAATTAAAACTGAGAAAACTGGCCTGTCATGTTGGCACATACCTGTAACTCCAGTATTCTGAGAGACTGATGTAGGAGGATTCCAAGTTTGATCCCTGCCTGGGCAACTTAACAATAAAATTTTAAAAAAGGCTTTCTGTGAAAAAGCCCTGGGATTTATCCCACAAAGAAAAAAGCAAAAATTTAATGTATATTAATTCATTAATGATAAACTCATTAAATGATAGAATGACACATAAATATCTGACTAATCAAAATGCTTCAGAATGGTCATGTACACCTAAACAATCCAACATAAGACCTAGATCAGAAAATGTGTCACGAGTATAAAAAATACTCGTAAACAAAAATAATGAGAACACTGTGTTATATTTCTATAAATATCCATACATACACACATATGTGTATATGTATGTGTATATGTGTGTGTGTGCGTATGAGATCCTGAGTACTGAACCCAGGGTTCCATTCATGCTGTGCAGGCAAGCATTCTACACTATCTCTGCAGTCCTCTACTAATTGCTTCAATGTTTCTGTCTTAATAGAATAATTTGATTTTCTGCTTCTGCATAAATTCTGTTAACGTGTTGGTGTGATGGACTTATATAAAAAAGTAGCCTCACACTAGACATGTAGTTGGAAAAGGGAGGAATATTTTAATAACCTTTCAGAAAATTGTAGGGGTGGGGCTAGGTCCACCGCCTATGATAGGGGTGGTCAACCTATGGAACACATGCTATAGCAGGCTGTTTCTATCATTGAAAGCTCTAAAGGGTTCACAATCAACTGCCCTAGCAGTTAAAAGGTCCTAGGCTTAATACCTAGCACTGAAAAAAACAATTGTGCCTATCAGTCTTTAATACTACTGCAAAACTTGAGAATTGGTGTCTAAGCCTCAAAGTGGAATCTGAAACTTCATTAATGAAATCATTGAAGTCTGTTCCATTATACTTTATTGATGTACCTTGTTCTTCAAACAGATCTTTTATTTACACATGACTTTGTAAGATCATGCTTAGTCATCTGAAAAATACTGGTTCACTGAGTTATACCACACTTCTACATGTTGACCCATTTCATTATGATACCTAAAAATCATACTCGTTATTCTCATCAATATCATTAGTTTTCAAAAACTTGTTTAAATATCAAAAAGTTGTCAGGGGGCCGGGGAGATGGCTCAGTGAAATAAGCACTTCCCTGGCAAGCGCAAGGGCCTGAGTTTAATCCCTGGTTCCGCAAAGAAAAAGAAAAAGAAAAAGAAAAAGAAAAAGAAAAAGAAAAAGAAAAAGAAAAAGAAAAAGAAAAAAAAAAGCTGTCAGGTTCAATGTCTTCCAAATATCCAAGACTGAATAAATGGTTTGTCTGTCAGTTACTCTTTCAAATATAGTGTTCCATGAAAAAAGCAGCTACTTAGCTCATAATTCAGTCCCTCAATGCTTTTCCTCAGAACCATCATCAGACTTATGCATGCAGAACAGCTTTGCATTTCATCACAAAAGAACATTAATTGCATGCATCAAGATTTAATAAAAGTAATAGATTTTTATCACTTTGTTTAGGACCTCTTTAAGTGACATTAGCATTTCTGATGTTTACTGCAGTAATACTGCAGTGAAGACCATTAGTACAGTTTAGTGCCATTTGTGTTAAAGTACCAGCAGTTTTATACATCGTTGTTTTTGCTCCATCACTGCCTATGTCAACGTAGTGAAAACAGCAAATAATATCTTGTTATTATGAAAATAGTCTTTACCTTAGATCTCCTGAAAGGATTTCAGAGGACCCCAGGGGTCCACAGATCATATTTTGAGGCTCTTTGGTCTAGGACGTGGTCCTGTTATACCTGATTATTTCAGCCTCCTAATTCTTGCCTTGACTCTCTCTCATAATTCCCACTTGCCATTACTATATACAACTTCCTACAAAGCTGCTTTCAACATATTCAGTTTCAAATTAGTGACCTCCACACCGAATACAGAAAATCCAGTTCCATACTGAAAGACCTCTACAATCTCTCCTCACTCAAATTTTTCAGCCTTACTGCTCATAATAACAACATCAATTAAGTCAGCCTGATATATTTAAGGTCTCCTTAAACAATTCACACATGTCACAACTTTGCTTGAAATATTTCCATCGTATCTTATTATTTCTTCTCATCAAATCTCAAATTGTATTTAACCTTCAAGGAAGGTTAGCTCAACATCTACCAACTTTTAGGCTTTTTGTGATCACTAATTTAGAACATCCTCTTGTTTCTTGAAATATTGGAATAAAATATTATCACACAATAATCTACTCTTTGATAATTTAACTTGAGTTGTTGTTTAATCATATGTCCTTACCTTAATTCCCTAATTAGCTTCTAAAATTTTTGGAGTACAGAAGGCCTACTAAATTTTGAGTCTTCTACAGTGCCCTGTATAATTCAAGGAACACAACAAAAAAGTGAATTTTAAAAATGAAATCAATGAAGGAATTCCTTTCCTAAACTGCAGAGGAATTCAGTTAGATGAGTGACTCACACAGTCTGTGAATTACTGGTGTTCCTTTAAAGTCTTCCAGGTAGACAGTAGGTTGATTCCTAGAGTAGTAGTGGCAAACCTATGGCACACATGCCACAGCAGGTTGTTTGTTATCACAAAAACTCTAAAAGATTTGCCATCACTGTCTGAGAGGTTTTTTTTTTTTTTAAATGAACTTAGGGCAGGGTCTATAGGGTGTATAGGGTCTTCCTATGCAGATTGTACTCACAGTGAGTCTCCTGTTTTCAGCCTCCCAAGTGCTGGGATTACAGGTGCGTGCCACCATGCCCAGTCTCAATCACCTTCTCAGCGCACCCCAGGGGTGGGGCCGGTGTCTTAGAGTTATTAATGTTTAAAATGAGAACAATTATGCTATTAATCAAAATCAGTCCGCCAGCAACTCACAAAAAGTAATCCTCTCCTTCTCATTAATTCTGATTAGGTTTTGCAGTGTTAATCAAGAAAATGTAGAGTAAGGGACCCAAAGGACTCTGTAAGTGGCTTACAAGGGGGAAAAATGGTAATTGCTGCTCTTAGATTAGCAAAGAGACTTGATGTGGAATCAACTCTTACCTGTACATTTTTTACTTTCTTAAAAGAAGATTTAGAATAAATGTGGCAAAAGTTTTGTATTTGTTAGTCTGGGAGATGGTACAAGGGTATCTGTTATGTTATTCTTTGCATTGTCCATATATTTATATATTGAAAAACAAATAAGGAAAGACATATTGGGTAGCACCCAGAAGCACATACAGTACGTAAATATAGACACATGTGCTACCTGACTGATGCTCAGTGCTTGCCAATGTGTACTTACCAGTGCATCATCTTGCAATGAAGCAAAGAAAACTCCATAAAGCAAGTTAATTTGCTCCTTATTTTCAATGAAGTCAAACATTGCAACCAGCCAACGATAGAAAAGTACCTGTGGAAAGGCAGAATGCTCATCTTTATAAAATTCTCTAAATATAACTATCTGGCATAGAAGAACTTAGTTCTCCCCACCTGCCCAGGGCTGTTGTAGGAGCTTCTAGTACAAAGTAGAATAACTAATTTTATTTTGCAGTAAAAATTTGTTTGAACAGAGTCCTTGCATTAAGTTATATTGTTATAAAACTACAGGCATTGCACAAAAGGCCACTGCCATTACTCCCTAAGTGGTTCTTCCTTGCTAGCCCTTAAGTGGTTCTGAAGGACATCATCAAGGGGTTTAATAAGATTACCTTGGTGTTACCAGAACACTTGCCAGCACAGATCCAGGAGATTGCTTTAACCACAGAATCTTCTAATATTAAAGTAGCTGGAATCATGCACTTCAGTATCCGTGTGTTTACAGCATTTCCTGTAGAGCAGACAAACCACATTAAATTACATTTCAGGTGTTGCATTGGTCCCTTTACTATTATTATTTACCACTAGTCACAAAATGTTCACATACTGAAGCCAGTAAAAAAGTATGCAATATTTAACATCCCTTATCACTAAACAAACAATTCAGAAAAAAACCCTATACCTTTAACTTCTAAAATAAATAACAGAGCAAATTATTTGGCTCAAATGGGGGAGTGAGGACTGGGGATATAGCTCAGTGGCGTAAGCCTGCCTGGCAATTCCAAATTTGATTCCCATACCAAAAAAATTAAAGGGCGGGGGATAATCACAGGGTGTCTTTTTGAGGTGAATATACTCTGAGAGTGGCACATTCTGCTGACTTACAAAAAAATGGAAAAACATACAATGGAATAAAGATAGCCTCTGAAACAAATGGTGTTTGGAAAATTGACTATGCTCATAGAAAAGATAGAATCTAGACTCATATTGCTCACCATGTAATAAACTAAAATCAAAAGGGATCAAAGACCTATTCAAACAGAAACATTTTGCTGGAAGATAAGATGGTAAGATTCCTAAAGACAATGATCAAAACCTCAACTGTATAAGAAATAACATCAAGGGGCTGGGGAGACAGCTCAGTGGTCTAAGCACCTGCCGGTCAAGTGCAAGGACCCACATTCCATCCCTCGGTGTGCCGTGCTAGCTCTGATACCGGGCGTGGTGATGCAGGCCTATAATCCCAGCACTAGGGAGGTTGAGACTGGAGGATCACTATGAGTTTCAACTCCATAGCAAGACCCTGTAGCAAATAAATAAATAATAATAAAGAAATAACCTCAAGAATCAATGAATAGAATATGAAATTAAAAAGTTGTGTAGCACAGACTACAACAAAGTGAAGAGATGACCTACTGAACGAGAAAAAATTGTTGTCAGTTATTTCTCAGAGGACTAATATCTAGAGCATATAAATGACTCAAACAAATTAGACCCTCAAAATAAAAAAACCCAATCAAATAATGGGTAACTAAAATGAATTAACACTTCCAAGAAGTACAAATGGCCAATAAATACATGAAAACATATCCAACATCCCTGGACATTAAAGAAATACTAATTAAAATAATACTGAGATTCCACCTTACTTTAAAAAATATAGCTATCATCACAAATCAAATAGCAAATGTGGAGAAAAGTAATCCTTCTACATTGTGAGTGGGAACATGAACTAGTACAGCTACTACGGAAATCAGTATAGAGATTCCCACCAAACCTAAAAGTAGCAATCCCATTTGATCCAGCTATTCCCTTGGAAGTGGCCTATATGTCTATCAACAGACAAATGAATAAAGAAAATGCAGTATTTTTACAAAATAGAGTACTACTCTATCATAGGAAGGATAACCTTGGATCATATGTAGGAAACTGGGCACAGCTTGAGATCATAATGTAAATGAAGTAAATCAGACATACAAGCTTATAGACGGCATGGTTTCACTTAAATGAGCAACCCAAAATATAAACAAAGAACAAAATACAAGAGACAAAACAGGAAATAAGGGGATAAAGTCTTTTGCTAATGGAAAGGGAGCAAGAGATAGGAAAAAAGGGGAAAAAGGGAGCAGAAGGGGATGAAATTAATTAAGACATATTATGCACTTTACCAAGTCCACAGGAGGAACACAATCATTATGTACTGCAAACATGTACTAATAAGAAAATAAAAATTGAAATAGGAAAAATAAATCATATTAAAGGAAATGCAAAAATAAGAAGAAAATAGTGGTAGCATTGTGAAAGCATTGGCGAGGGAGGGAGGGGCAGGGGATGAAAAAACATGTGCATTATGCACATGTGCCAATACCAAACAATGAAAGTAATCATTGGTACTGTACACACACTCCATAAAAATTAAAATAATCTGAGAATTAGTAATAATTGCACATCTCAGTGAATATGCTAAAGAACACTATTTTTTCTTTACTACAAGGTAAGTGAGGATGGAACCAAATGTCTTCACATTGAACTATATCCCCAGTCCTTTTTTTTTTTAATGTATTTGGTACAGGGTATTACAACACAGCTCGGATATGCAGTGATCCTCCTATTTTCAGCCTCCCCAGTGCTGGGATTACAGGCATGCGCCACCACACCCAGACTCGGTCACTGGCTCAGTGCACCTGGGGTAGGGCTGGTGCGGCATGTGGTGCCGGGGATAGAACCCTGGTCACTGCACTTGCTAAAGCAAGGCGCTTAGTCCGCTGAGCTCTCAGTCCTCCGAGCTATCTCACCAGCCCTCCTTCTTTAATTTTTTATGTTTTAATTTGGAGACAGAGTCTCACTAAGCACCTAAGTTGCATAGGCTGGGCTGGAATTGGTGATCCTTTTCCCTTTACGTCCCTAAATCACTGAATTTTTCTTTTTACTTTTTATTTTATTGGTACATTTTAGATATAAATGATAGCATTCATCATAGGAAGGTTGTACCTGTACATAATCTATCTTGCTGCTTCTATTTTTCCCATTTTCTCCCCTCCCTTTAACCCCTTTTCTTCTCTTTATTTACAAAACATTTATCCCCTATTAGAAGTGATGTTAGCCAGGCAGAGTGGCACACACCTGTGATTCCATTCCTCTGCAAGGCAGGAGGGTTGCAAATCTGAGGCTTGCGTGGACAATTTAGAGAAACCTACCTTTTCAAAATAAAAATGAGCTGGGGAGATAGGTAAGTGGAAAGGACCTCAATTCAGTCCCCAGCGTTAAAAAAAACATGAGGAGGAGGAAGACATGATGATGATGACAAGGACAGACAATGGGTTTGCACATATGCCTTTGGTACACTCAGGCTTCAAGAATTAATATATATATCGGCAATTTCTACTCTGTTACTGTGGAAAAGCAACCAATGATGGCAGATAAGAAAAATCACAAGAATAACCCCTCCCAGACTTTCCACTGAAATTTCTTGTATCTATCTCTTTTTTTCTCTCCCACTCATATCTATTAACCCTTTTAAAGTTTTAAATAATCTCATCACTAACGTAGGTACCAAATTCTAAGGCAAAATTCAATATCGATTCTATTTTTACTTTCCAATGATTTTAAAATTAATTTCTAAAGAACCTAAGGTCCCTTTGTACCTAATTATAGGTACATTTATAGCAATCCAGAATACTTGAGCCATACAGTAAATTCAACTAGTAATATGCTGTTACTTTAAATATGCAAAACTATAAACAAGATGCTAGGATATACACAAAGGAAACTAACATACAAGGGCACAATATACTAAAGCATCAAGTTTTGAGAGCTATAGTAATAGAGAAAACAGCAGCAATGTGGTGCAGTACAAACACTAGAAAAGGAGCTCTGACATTAAGAAAATCTCTTTACCATACTAGACCTGTTTCTGCATCTGGAAAAGGGGTGATATAGGGTGTAGGATAACTTGTCTGAATTTGAATTTGGTTGAGAAGGTAAAAAGGTTCTTTCCAAATAGAAAAAGATTGAACAGGTATTATTTGTAGGAACATTTCCCACCCCCAACCAAGAACCAATGAACTTAGCACAAAAAAGGAAACACTTACCCCAAGAAAAATTCCTTTGACTATTAAGGTAAGATAAAAGACGCTGAAATGAAGACAGTATAAATAAGGTCTTATCATGGATAAGTTAACCTTTAGGCAATGAGATAAGAGTAACCTCCTAAAATGCCTTTAGGCAGCATTATTTAAATTATTATCCATTCTTCTAAAGAAAAGGGTTAAATGGTTTCATATATTTGAGGAATACAACCTACCCACTTTATTTGTAAATATACGTGGTAACTATTTTCAGCAATATGCACACAGAAACTTTTGGCTTAGAGTCTAAACACAGAAAAGGTCCATTTTATAATTTTATCAGATTGGTCTTTCGAGAAGAATAGTCAAAGTAAAGAATGAATTGATCCAAAAAATACACTCATTCAAAGTCTGAAAGGCAAATCTAACAGCAAACATATGATAAAGGTATCCCTTCAACATACCAAATTTGCCACTGAGAGCCACATTCAGTAAAATATCAATGACTTCTGGAGCTAACCCATTTTTCCAAGCCACATTTTCCACAGTTTCCAAATGTTTTTCCAAAATTTTATCTTTACTCTGTGAAATTTTAATGGGACCTAGAAAAAGGAACAATAGTAAATAGTGAGACTTAAAATTCTTTCAGTTCTCAGCTTCAACAATTACAAATTGAGATTCTCTAATGGAACAGTTTTATGTAAGAAATGTCTTCACAATAAATGAATCTGATGCTGTCAAGGGGGCAGGAGGAGTACGGAAAGGAAAATATAGAATTGAGATGTGTTGTGTACATGTACTAACTTCCCACAAGGAAGGCAATTATTATGCACTGTAAACATGTACCAATAAAAAAAATTGAAAACCATCCTAAAAACCCTTGAAAGGCTTTAATACTCTAGAATATTTAATATTAATAGTACCTTCAGTGAGAAAAATTGAGTCATGATCTAGCTTTCTGGCTCTAAACTAAAAGCATACAGCTTCCAGGTGTGTCCAGATATGACCCAAAGGTCACAAGCCACTTGCTCATTTTTTTTAATGTTACAGTAACAAACACAAAAAGGAAATTGTTTTACTTATACACATTCAGTATATGATGCACTTTCTAGCAGCCCAAAATAATTCTTCCTCACTCTGTGGCTCAGGAAAGCCAAAAGGTTACACATATTTTATATATTCTGATCCTTCAATACTAGGTCAATGGTTCCCAAACTTTGCTCTATATTGATGGAGATCACTTAGGAAACTTTCAAAAAGTCCTAATATCAGCCTGAATCCAATACCAAAAGAATAAGAATGCTTAAGAATGGATGCCAGGAATTTGTATGTTTCAAAGTATAAGTGATCACTCTATGTGGCAGTTTGGCAACCTCTGCTGGGAAGATGTTTTGTGGTTGTGTCTGCAGTACCTTGCATAGTGATAAGTAGCAATTGCTCAATACATGTCTATTAAGTGAACAAAAGCACAAATGAGCAAAATTATGCTTTTGTTTTAATTTTTTTTGGCAGAACTGGGAATTGAACTCGGGTCCTTGCACTTGTCAGGGAAGTGCTTATTCCACTGAGCCATCTCCCAGGCCCTCTTTTAAACTTTTTAAGGAAAAGACCAGAACAGTTTTATAAAAATAATTCCCGAAGGAAAACAATGTACTTTTACCTTTCTCCAAGTATCCCACTGCTACTTGCAGAGTATCTTCATCCATATGTTCATGAGCTGCCATTGGACTGTTCTGTTCCCAGATGATTTTTGAGTCACTTGGCTTCTGTTTTACTTTCCAGGCTGACAGACTGGTTTGAAAAGTATTCCCAACTTGTGAAGCTCTATTCTGTGCCTGGGAACGCTTAACTCTCTTTTGAGGCAGCATGACTGTGTATGTTCTATACAAAAACATGTGTCAAGTTATCATCAGCCAAATAGTCCTTTTTTTCCTCCACAAAGGCAGGGATCAGATCTGCCTGCACTCCCACATTTAGTACATGGTACCTAACATGTAACAGGCATGCCATAAACAAGTTAACTATCTGGGCAAGGAAACCAATAGGTTAGCTTTTTCAGAAATTCCTTGACTTAAATAGATATACTAACAACTTGCCAAGGTAACATTTACTCAGTTGAACCTTGGCCAATATAAGTTCGCTCTTAAAATGACTACATTATATAAGCAAGACCCAAACTAATTCATCTCCATGAATTCAATCTTACATACTTCAGTTTTATTGCTCCATCCTTCCTTGGTTTTGATTTTAATCTTTATGGTCTCCCCTTTGTAGTGCTAAGTTAAAACTGCATAGTTAAAAAGCCAAACTGGTGGCCTGACTAAGCATTCTCTGGTCAGATATAACTTCCATGTATTAATTTATGTATTCAATAAATAAATACTTAGCATTATTTATATGACAAGTACAACTTTAGTTACCAGGGATAAAAAAATAAAATAGTCAAGGCCCCTACTTGAGGTGAGTGAAGCAATAGTGTGGAATTAGAGTTAATAAGTAACTCCTGTCAAATACAATGATGTGACAGAAATGGGATGAGGTAGGAATCTACATTGAAATATGTGTTCAAAGCAAGTCTATCTTCAATACCAAGAAGGAACCTACCATGTGAAGATCTGGTGGAAGGAAGTTTCAGGGGGCGGGAGTGAGAAGATATACTAAGATGTTAATACAAGAAAGTACTTTGTGTGTTAAAGAAATAGGTGGATAGAGTAGAATGAAAGAGGTAAAGATCAGTGACAGATAATGTTAAAAAAAAGGTAGCCAGTACCAAAAAGAAATCAACAAATAACAAATGCTGGCCAGGCTGTGGGGAGAAAGGAACTTTCTCCATTGTTGGTGGGAGTGTAAACTGATACAACCACTATGGGAAATCAGTATGGGCATTCTTCAAAAAACTAAAACTAGTGCCAGGGATATAGCTCAGCACGATAAGTGCCTCCCTGGCAAGTGCAAGCTTCCACGTTCAGTCCCTGGTACTGAAAAACAAAAACAAAAACTAGAAATTTCCTTTGACCCAACTATTCCCCTTTTAAGTAGTATCTTCTCAAAAGAGTTAGATATCATACCATATGGATACATGTATACCCATGTTTAAAGCAGTGCAATTAACACCCAAATCTTGCAGACAGCCTATATATTTATCAACAGATTAATGGATAAAAAGTGTGGTATTTATATACAGTGAAATACTTCTCCATCATAAAAAGTGTAAACGAGTTATTTGTAGGAAAATAAATGCACCTTGAGACTGCAGTATTAAGTGAAGTAACTCAGACACAAGCTTAAATATTTCATGGTTTCTCTTACATGAAAAACTCTGTCTTTATTATATATAGTACAAAATAAAAGAAAACAGGAAAAAAGTATTGTAACCTAGTATGGACAATGTTACCTAAAAGTATACCTTCATTTAATACAATAGTCTTACATATTTTATATGTTCTTTGGCCTATTAGTATGGTTTTCAATCTATATACATAATAATTATCTTTATAAGGTCCCATAAGACAAGTAAATGACTTTAAGATGCTGGAAAAAATAAAAGGGAGAGGGGAAAGGGACTAGAAATGTGTTTTGTACATGTACTAATTCCTTACAGTCAATGCAATCATATATGGCAAATGTGTACTAACAAAATTTTTTTTAAAATTTGAATCTTGTAGGCCGAGAGTAGCAAGTTGGTATTTTCACTGTCAGGAGAAACTACAGGGGAGGGAGCAGTCACAGCCTGGAGCAATTCTCTGTGATATGTGCTTTAAGAATATTGTATCTACAGTGTGGAAATTAGAATGTTGGGGTTAAGGAGTGGTAAGAAGTCATGAGCAGCCAGTAATCCCCTCATTTGGGAGGCTGAAGCAGGAGGACAGCTGAGGTTTGAAGGCCAAGCTAGGCTGCAGTGAGTTAAAAGCCAGCCTAAAATTACACAGGAAGACCCTATCTCAAAAAACCAACTGTATAGCCAGGCATCCTGGCTCATGCCTTTAATCTTAGCACTTGGGTGGCTGAGGCAGGAGGATCGCTGGGAGTTTGAGGCCTGTGTGGGCCATTTTCCAAGCCAGCCAGAACTGTATAGTGAGCCCTTGTCACAAGAAGACGAAGAGGCTGTGGCGGGGCGAGAGAGGGTTGAAGCCACCACCTAGAGTGACAAGAGATGGACTATAAAGTCGATCAGTGCAGGAGATAATTTTAGGCGACATTAGGCACAACGTGTAGCAGTGTGGAGGTGGAACATAATTGAATTCCTGATATATTTTGGAGGTAGACTGGACAGGCTATGACAAAAAATTAGATGTTGGGGGGAAAAAAAGGAGAACCGAGATTTCTAAGTTTCAGCTTCAAAAGATATTCAAACCCACCTCCACAGAAACAAATGGGAATACAGCTGGAGATTCCAGTTCTGAAATGTTTCCTAGACTCTCACGAAAGGCGGAAGGGAGAAGCAGCTTCGGATTCCATGGGGGTGAACTATTCCAGCGCTTCCTACGGCTCATTTTCCAAGCTTACACCAACCAAAAGCAAAATTGGCAAAGACGAACCCCTCGCACACGAAGCAGATTCCTAAGTTAGGGGAAAATAACACTCTCAACTACTGCTCTCAAGTATTCCCACTAAGCGCGGCACCATACCTGATAACCTCTTCGGTACCGTAGCCGCCCGCGTCCAAAAACCGCCTCCAGGATTCAAAGGCGCGGGCCCCGCCCCGCGCATGCGCTTTGGAGGAGACCTAGGTAGCCGCTCGGTGGAGTGGTGTGCTCTGCTGAAACTTGATTGGTTGAGAAGGAGCTTTAAGGTGGGACATGCCACGCGCACAGGCAATGACGCAACATACGTAAAGAAAATACTCGCTCCACCCACCTGAGGGGGGGCTCGAGTGAGTAGTTGCTGACGGAGTCAGCTGACTGGGTGGCGTTTTCTGTGCTCTAAAGATTGCTACTCGTCATTTTGTGCAAAACAAAACATAATGTCTTGATTCTTGAATTTAACTCGATCATTTGTAGCATTTATTTTGCTCGCCTTGACTCCAAATTCTGGACTTTATTCGAAGAATGAAACGGCAAAACTCATAATTAAGGCGGCTCCCTTACAGAGACTTAAAGAATCTGTCCTTCTGTGAAGTGAGGTAGGAGGAAAGAACTTCTGGAGCTGCCCTCCTTTCACCGGAGGATACAGTACCTTCAAGGTTTCTGGAAACTGTTCTGAGCCGGATGTTAAACTACCTCCAAGTTAGTTGGCTGTCACATGCAAATATTCCTAAACTTGAAGAACTGACCCTAAAAAATGGCTAAAATAGCAACAAAGGGCTTAGTTTTACATCAGAGTTTATCCCTAAGTTGAACTTATTAATAGGAATAAGAAAGGAAATATACAAATGTAGTGGCTCTCGCTGACTTCAGGTCAAAACATACCTAGAAACTAGGCAAAACTAGTGGGAAGCATCAATCTTAGAGAAAAAGGATTAATCAAAAGATTAAATTGGTGTACAGTATTGGGAAAGACCACAGTAAAAATTACTATTTACTACATCTTGTACTTATGTGGTCTTCAGTGTAGTTTCATTAACTCTTACTGAACGTGCATGGAAAAATTTAAATGACAACTTTTTCTATGATAGTTATTCTTCAGTAAAATTAAAAATTTATCAAGTCATTTTCATGCTTTAAATTTTTTATAGATTCAGAGAAACATAAACTGGAAGGAATTTTAAGGCTTCAATACATGCCTTTTTGTAGATGATGAGACCTGGTCTCTTGTCTAATTTGTGGCACTTTGTGGATACATACATAATGAGAACTAGTGAGTCCCATTTATTTAACGTACATTTAGTTTTCCCTGATACACAGTTTCTGGTGTCCATTGACATCACCTAGCGACTCCTTAAACCTGGGAATTTTATTAAGTTCCTAATTCTGTACATTTCTGCTTTATATGCTTACATCAAAAAGTGCGAGGAAATTTAAATGGGACTAGTAAATTGACAACTTTATCAGTATATTAAGTTATTACATTTAACTCTCCCTTCTTCTCCATCCAGATGTAAGGAAAAGGACCCTGAGTAAAAATTTTGATTTGACTTGTTCTTTCCATATTTTGGTATCTAGACAGAGATTGTCTCCAAATTTCAAAAAATTTTATTTTGAAAGGATGGGAGAAATATCAATTACCAAGAACAATTACAGCGAAGAAAATACAATAAGTACTCTCCCCACACATAGCCCCCATCACTTCCCCCATCTTTGACACAATAATTTAAAAACCATCAAAGCATATTTAACGAGGAGAAACAGCAGTATGTAATGAAAAAACAAATTTCCATACTGCTCAACCCAACTAACCCATGTCAAATGTCCTTCCCCCAGCTAAACTCCACATGTGGGAATGGAATCATAAAAAGGTGGAGCGGAGACAACAATGAGAGTGATTTGAACTCTGCTTACACTAGCAAAGTTCAGTGAATAATCAATAGAAGTAGTGAATCTGTCAAGGAAACACTGTATACAGCTCATCTGTTAAGTTGCCGATGGTTTATTAGAGCAGCTAGTGTTTTGAGATTCAGGCTTCTATCAGACCAGCCCTTGCTCCCTCAATAGTGGGGCAGCTGCCAAATCCTGATTAGCTACTGAGAATAGTGCAAGTGAGACAGTCTTAGCCTTAAGAAAATCTGAAGATGTTTGGAAACAAATCTACTACTTTAGTTTCAAATTAGTTTTAGTAAAAGAGCTGAGGAAGTTGGCCTAGATACAATCGTGATGAAACTTCCTATTTTATCACTTGAATTATACTAGCTGGCTGCATTGATCCCTTGTTTTGTTTTTTTTTTTTGTTTTTTTTTTTAATTTTTTTTTTATTTTGGTACTGGGAATTGAACCCAGGGCCTTCATGCTGAGGTTATTAGCCCTTTTTTATGTGTTTATTTTGAGCTAAGTCACCAGGTTGCCCAGTTTGGGCTGAAACTTTGAATTCTGCCTCAGTCTCCCAGAGCACTAGGATTAAAGGCTTGTGCCACCATGCCTGGTGAATTCCTTATTTTAGTTAAACTCTAGAGTGTTGAAAACTTAGCTGTTGAAGTAGAGGTTGATTTTAAATATAACTCAACAGTTTCAAGTCAAATAGGTCCTTTCCTGAAGTGGTAAGTCCAAGTTTTCAGCTTCATCTAGAGAGGAATCCCCTTTCCCACATGGGAGTAGGTATTGTGTTTCATACCAGAAGTAGGATTCTCTTTACAGAAGGTTTATTTTATTGTACCTTTTGTTGGATTCAGTTTATGAAGGGAAGGATACCTGTGCAGGATTAGTTCAAGATGAGAGCCTTCTACACATATGTGTGCATACACACACCCAGTGGGTTAATTCATTTTTCCCACACATAATTTCAGTCACATGCTTGCTGGAGTCCATCTCACAAATACACTTCAATAGTAGCCATATACAGGTACATGCAGCAAGACATATGAGTGTTGCCCCAGAGTGATTAAAGGTGGTTCACAAATGTCAATGTGGGGAGATTATTTGGGAGTATAGATGTACACAAGCCAATTAGATTGCAGATTATGTTTTCCGTTTTTCCCTAAGATAAATCAAATTAAAAGCACAAACTGACATCTTCCCAGGTATCATAGAGGCAACTGCCTGGAAGGTCCACATTTTATACTTCCACTTTCCTATGACACCTTCACTTTGCCCTGAGGAGCCTTCTCGTACAAGGAGGGTTGTTCCTCAGCTTTTCCTGGCAAAGGCTTCTTCTTAGAAGACCGATCTTCAGGCTTTCGGGCAATAAGCAAGCGGCAGGTCAGTAGAATTCCAAACACCAGAGCATGGGCATAGCGCTTGAGAGGATCACCAACCAGCTGGTGGAAGAAGAGCACAACCAATACCAGCAAAAGTAGGCAGAAGTTGGCCACATCTTTGGGACGTCCAGGAACAAGGGTCAAAACAATGCCACAGGCTACTTCAAGGGCACCAATGCTTTTTCGGAGGAGAATGGAATTAATGCCCATTTTCTTCAGCAGAGGAAGGGCTCTGACATAGCTCTTGTAAGCACGTTTCTAGAGTGGGGACAGCATAAGAAAATTACTGCATTAACCATGATTTTAACATTAGAATGAAGAAAACACAAGCAGAGGCCTCCTTCCTTAACATTGCCATTCTATATCAGCCAATGGTATCCTACTCTTCACTTTGTTCTCTAAATAATAGCCTTGTATTTAAGATTTAAAAAGCAAGCAACCTGCTAGGATTCCTGTGTTGTAAATCTTTACAGCAGCATTGCTGTGTTTCAATGTCGATGTGACCCAAAATTCATGTTGATATCCTAACCCTAAAGATGATGGTATTAGTAAATGAGACATTGAGAACTAATTAGCCTTTTGGATGGAACCCTCCTGAATGGGCCTACAGCTTTTATGTAAAAATATTCCACAGAGATCTGCCTTGCCACTTTCACCACATAAAGACACAACCAGGCAGTACTATTTATGAGCCAGAAAGAGGGCATTTACCACACACCAAATTGGCTCGCACCTTGACTTTGGAAGTTACAGCTTTCAGAATCTCGAGAAATCAGCTTTTGCTATTTAAAAGCTACCAGTTTGTGTTGTTTTCTATTCTAAGAGTAGTTTTAATAGAACAAGACAAGCTCCAAAAGTAATAAAGCAAAGAATTTGGCTCTATAGTTTAAAAATAGTTGCTCTTTATAAATTGTAAGCATTAAGAATTTCAAAGAAAATTCACTGGACCTATAAAAACTGCTATATGTTAGCCACATCCACATTTTTAGTGCCTTCCCTGCCCAAACCCAGATGTGTACAAATAACCAACAAAATGAAACAGGGCAGGGTATAACGTGGAAATGCCTCACTGGTCTGGATTCTCTAATTTGAAATCTGTGATATTTCCAAAAAGAGCTGAGCTGTACTTTTTATTTGTGGAATCTATAAAAATAAAAAAAAATTGCTGAGCAAATAGAAAAATAAAAATGTGTACAAGTATCATCCCTTACATATCTAAAATATAGAAAAACAGTATAATTTTAACATTAACACAGATAAATTTCAGAACTTTCCAAGAGGGCCATCCAAATAGCTCAGCAGATTAAAGTGCCTGCAAGCAGGCTCAGGGGCCAAGGGTTCAAGCCCTAGGCCTGCCTTGCTGGCCTTGCCCCTGGGGCATGCTGAGCTGGCAATTGAGACTGGGCATGCTTGTGCGTGCCTATAATCCCAGCACTTAGGAGGCTGTAAACAGGAGAATCGCGACAACTCTGATCTACCAGTGAGAACCTGAACTATAGACCCTTCCCTAAAATACAGAAAATAAAAAAGAACTTTCCAATACTTTGGTTAGCCTGGTTCAAATTTATTAACTTTAATTTGACAAATGTTTATTGGGTAGCTACTATGGGATATGCATTACAGGTACAGAGATGACTAAGACAGGATCAAGAAGCTTTCAGTCTGATGGAGGGAAACAGATGTGCAAACAATGGTATATTGGGAATAATTGGGGTGGTGAACCAGGAACAGGAAAGAATGAGTTACCCAACTTAAGGCTTATTGAGTTGCAATATCTCTAAGACATCCAATTGGAGATAACTGGTAGGCAGGTCATTTGGAAGTTTGGGCTCAAGATTAACTATAGTTAGTCATCATTGATCATTTTTCCCACTATGCCCAGGGAAAAAGGGTATGAAAGACATTTAAGAAATAGAGAAAGAAGTCCATGAAGTGGACAGAAGAAAACATGTACCACAAAGTGGGAGATAAGCCAGGAAAGAGCAAGTCTTAGAGCCAAGAGAATTTTAACAAGAGATTTGTGGAGTTACAGGTGCACTTTGGTAGTAGAGCACACACTTAGCACATATAAGGCCTTGAGTTCATTTCTGAGTATACGCACTCACACACACACACACGCACACACATGCACGCACGCACACACACGCACACATAGAGGCATCAGATGCAAAGCAATAGAGTTGGCTTTCCATAATTGCAGATTGAAAATATTTGGGAAAAATTACGTCTGTAATCAACATGTTACAGACTTTTGTCTTCTTGTTATTCCCTAAATATAAATATGTATATATTTTACATAGCATTTACATTGTATTAGGAATTATAAGGAATCTAGAGATAATTTAAACTATGAGAGAATGTGCACAGATAATATACAGGTACTATGCCATTTTATAGATGAGACTTGAGCATCCAAAGACTGGTATTCTTAGGGAAAAGCCTAACACCTGAACACACATGAATAAAAAGGGGCAGATTATATTATAAGAATCAGGCAGAAAGCCAACTTGACCTCTAAGAAGCATTTGGTATTTAGAATAGTCCACACACTCCAGGTTCAGAAGAAAGACCTTTCTCTCACTTTTGTACAAGTGAATGCACCTTTATTTCATGGATTGATTGTTAGTGGCACAAAATAATCCTTTGTGAGGACTGTTAAAAGACTGATGAGTTAGTGGAAAAAAGCATGGGTTTAACTCCACATCAATTTAGCTTCAAATCCCAGTCCTGCCACCTTCTAGTTGGATGTCCATGAGCAAATTATTTGACCTCTCTTAGTCTCATTTTCCTGAGCAGGGTGAGGATTATGTGAAGTTGGTGAGGCCACTAGTCTTGGGTGCAAATTTTAAGAGGGCAGCAAAAACACTCGATAGTTAAAGCAAACAGTGTCCTTGATAAACAAAATATCAAGATTTTAAATAAAGGGCTACTGACTGTTGCATGACTATGCCTAATTCCTATTTTAGAAACTATGTAGTTTCACCTCAGCCTGCTTCCTACCCTGTGGCTGAGCATAAAACACCAAATATTAGCTGTTATTTCTTTTGTTCTTCTCTTAGGTTAAAGGAGGGATTTTTCTAACAGAAATTAGTAGAGAGGTTGACTAATAGGCAGAGTAAATCACAGGTTGAACCAAGATTGGTACAAGGGGTAGAGAGCCAAATTGAGCTGAAGGGTAAAGAGGTGGTGGTGACAGGCCTGCTCTTTTCCTCACACTATTAACCTAGATATGTACCACCCTCCTCTACACTCCAGTAATGGTAGAAGGGGTATAGTAGAGAAAGAAGTCCAGACTCCAGAAGCTTTATTAACTCTTTTTTGGTTTTGTTTTTAGACAGGGTCTCAGTATATAGCCCTGTCTGACCTTGAACTCACAGCAATCCTCCTATCTCAGCCTCTCAAGAGCTGGAATTACAGCCATGGGCCACCACAGCTGGCACCTTAATTCTTTTTGGTAAGGACAATTCTAGTAAGTAACACAAAATTTCTCAAGGGGCAATTCCTAAATCCTAGTTATAAGTTTCTGAGTTATGAGCACAGGAGACAAGATAAAATTTTAGTCAGTTCACAGCCAAGACTTCCAGATGCTAGCTGAGTGGCTTCTGGAAACTCCTTCTATTTATTATTATTATTATTATTATTGTTACTGTTATTGTTTTGTACTTT